CCCCAAAACCCCAAAACCCCAAAACCCCAAAACCCCAAAAGAATCCCAAAAAGAAGCCTCTATAAAAATAAAAACTCAATTTTCCAAAATGGGTGCTCGTTCCTGCTGCTCTCGTAAAAATGACACCAAAAAGAAGCATAATAGTGTCACTGAATTCATAATGAACAAGCAAGGGGGTCTCTCTAAGTCAATGACTATAAAGCAAAGACATGAGAATACCAAGGACAAACTCAACCAATTGGTAGTCAAGGCTAGAGACTCTCCTGAACTAAGTAATATAACTAAGCAAGAGAGCTATAAGTAAATCCCTTGAGGCTCAGGAAAACATCACTTCAGGTAGGATGAGAGATTTAGAGCACCAAGGTTGGCATTTAGATATAGATTTTTTTAGCTACATTAGCAATACAATTAATAATTGACCTCTTTGTGATTCAGCCTCACCTGTTTCTTTAGACCATATCGAAGAGTTACTATCGAAATCTCTTGAGCTCCATCAGAAAAGGGAGAAGTCACCTTTATTAACTCCAACTTTGGAGCCAGGCAAGAAGGTTCACAAAGCTCGTGGCTCATATAGCTATTCCAAGTCGAATGATAAAGCTATTAGGCATGGAGAACTCGACTCTCAATTTATAAAACGAAACTCACAGACTTACCACTCATTTTTTAAGGATAATGAAGGATTCAAGAGGTCTAAAACTAAAAATTCACGATTTTCTAAGAGATCCAGAAAATCCAAAAGACTATCAAATCCGTTTAAACCAGCATCTTCAATCCTTGTGTCTAGCTCTTCTTCCTCAAGCTTAAGTCAGGTAGAAGGATTTCACCTTGTTGGCGAGCTGGCCAATACTGTGAACTATAGAACTGAAAAAGCAGTGAATCTCAAAAATGGAAAACCTATCATAATTAAGTATTTCAAAGTAGGATAATTCTTAACTTCCAGATTTCAGATGAATCAAAATTGGAAAAGCTGGGTTTCTTTAAGGAACTTCTCAAAGATTTTCAAGCAATGCCAAAATGTCAATTCCTAGTCAAGGTCAAAGACTTCAGGCTTGATGAAGATACTGGTAAACTAGTAATGATCCAACAGCATTGTAAATAAATTAATGGACTTGGAATACTTCCTTGGTAATTACCAAAAACAATACTTGAAGAAGAAAAATTCTAAATTATCAGATAACTCACCATATATTGAGCCGTCAAGAGTCAAGATCATCACATTTCAAATAATTCAGGCTCTGAAAGCCTTAGCAGGTGTAGAGCGGAACCATGGGTATTTGATGGAATAATTAGCTTTTAGCAAACTAGACTTGTCCAATATATTTGTATCAAAGAAATATAAAATATAAAAATCTCAGATTACTGAATACATCATGACCCTCTAGGGATTTCCTTCATTGATGGTCAAATCCTTGACCTATTCAATCTGGGAATATGTATTCTAAAGATGCTTGGATTAGCAGCCCTTCAAGAGAAATTTGACTTTTATATGCATGATAAGAAGGATCTCAGAAACCATTACAAACATGTAGAATTTTGAAGTAAATTATAGGTTAAAGACTGGAAATTGCGCAGTTTTCTTGATATCCTGCTCATTAAGAAGAACTGAGACCTTGACTTAGCAGATCTCCAACCTTTTCTACAGATTAATGACAATGATCTTGAATCTATGAGCAAGATCAGCCTGGATGAGAGCACAGATTCTGACTCTATCATAAGCAATTCTGTAAAGTGAGATTTCACCTTCAGAAGCCAATCAGGTATTGAAAACAATTATTTTAGATAACTCCGAAACTGAAAAAGCTACAGAGAGTGATAAAGTGGATCCAAATCTGCAAAAATTCTTAACAAATACTTCAGAATCTACAAGTTTGAACTACAAAGTGGAAGAGATACCCGCAAGTCTAATGCCTTCTGGGACTGAGCTTCCTCCAATCAATGCTAAAAAGTAGTAATTAAGAATTATTGTGTAGAAAAATTTACAAACCAATTTCTGCAAAGGATGAGAGATCAATACACCACGGGTTTGGTATTACTGGTACTAGTAGTGATGAAAATGAAGATAGCCTTCCTTCTAGCAACTCTGAAAGCCAAGGTAAAAACTCTTCACTATGTTTAGATGAAATTGCAGGAGGTTTACTCAACGACAATAAGGGAAATAACATTATTAATAATGTAAACCGACGAATCTCAAGACTCAACTTCCCTGGAGTCAGAATTGGAAGACTCTCCAAAGATGATTTCAACAAAGAATATGAAAAAGAACTAGTGAGGCTGGCTAAATGGTATAATAAGCAGAAGTTTCAATATTATTTTAATAAAATGGGGTTTTGGGGTTTTGGGGTTTTGGGGGTTTGGGG